CCAGGCCACCAGGGCTTCCTCGCTCTCCTTATCATCTTCATCTTTATGACGAGGCTTGTTAACAAGACCAGCAAGCTGGCCTGGCCGAGCACATCTATCTTAGCCGCTCGCGCTCAGCCAAGCAGCATCCGGTGGGGGGACTGGCGAGGCACTAATTAATTGATTCCTTTGGACAGTAAAATATGGCCGCGTCTACACAGAACCCATCGACTCATAAACAATATCTCTGCTGGGTGTGAGTGCATTGTCTTTCAAAGAATTTTCCATAGGCGTGTGTCATGCTGTCCTGGATCTTTAGCTGCTAAAGAAAGATCCACGTGGGACTAATTTTTAGGGGGCTGAAACAGAGTTAGCTCAGTGCCAGAGAATGCTTTTAGTTACTACTGCCTCTCAAAAAGCACTGGGAGTGGGTTTTGTTGAAAAAAGGTGGGATTATGGCATATAATTTCCCTGCTGCCTGTGTAGACTCCGCCAAGGTTAAGGATGAGAACCGGGGCTGAGGAGCTGGGTAGGCCAGAATGTTCTCCCCGGTTGGCTAGGAGGGAGTGGGGCTGCTCTGGGGTTTGAGAAGGGCATAGAAGAAGAGGTTCAGCGTTTGCCTTCATGCTGCTTCCTAGACTCGAGATTTAAAGATAACATTTTTTTAATTTAAATAAATCTTCACTTTCAGGAGCCCTGGAGTGCCCAGCACAAACCTGGAACCTGCCTGTTAGCTCAGCCTGCCTGTTACACACTTCCCCAGCACTGCATTTCCTCTTCCCCCTTTCCTAACTGGCAGCCCAGAGTAATTTCATAGTATATTTATATTAAGTCTAGAAGAACACATCCTGAGACACAGGGGATAACCTAATTCTATAATGGTAATTCATTCACTAGTGATTATGCAGTCAGACCCTACTGCAAACAGGACTTAGCACTCTAACTACAGACCCTGACTTCAGATCAGAGATGCTGCCAGGAGCTAGAGATAGAAGACCATTTATATAAATGATCCGTGCAGATATAGAAGGAGTTTTAAAAAGACAGAAATAATAGAAATACAAAAGGACAGAAAAGAGGCTAGCCAATGGAAATTGTCATTGCCAATGCCCAGTCTTCCTCCCGTTACTGTTTTAAAGACTGCCTGAGAAATGTGTATTATAAATACAGCAAATAATATGTGAACTCAAAGAATGTTCAATTGTATTTGGTACACACCATGTATGCAAACATAATTTATAGAATATGTTTTTTCATATACTGGGTAGATAGGCACTTTGTGTATATATAATAATATGGTGTATTTTAATGCAGTTTTATGTGGATATATTAATATCTGGATGCATTTTCTATGCACTGATTTTATATGTCTATACCTATGTAGCTAAATAGATGCAGGACTGTACATTCCCTGTGTAGGATATATGGAAACTGTTTATATATGTAAACGAATTTTACATGTGGTGGATATGCATGCTTTATGTAATCTTTTCTCAGGAGGTTGCTTTTCTGTACAATAGCTAGAAGTGCTTTTGTATGTATATTTTCTAGAGAAATATATTTTCCATGCCCAGAATGTATATGTAATATAGATATCTGTGCGTTTTAGACGGTTTCAATATATTCATTATGTCGGCAGCGTGGCCAAGAGTGCATTTTATGGGACATCTTCTCCCTGCTTCACATGTGGAGTGTGCATCCATCTTTCACAGGTATCTTTCCTGACAACAATTGTCGGTAGTGAGCTCCATCCACACAGATCTGTCCTTGAAAGTAGTTCTCCACTCTGGGTAGGGAAACTGGTAAAGTGGAGGCTTGTCTACACGTACCCAGGAAGTGGCTCGGACTCGGGGAGAAGTCGCTCACAGCAACCAGTTGGTAACACTGGCCAAAGGTCTGGCTGTGTTTGGTCTCGTCCAAGCCCAGTTCCTAGGCTCCCTTGCAGGCTCCTTGGGGCGGCACAAGCTTTAGGAGCCTCTGGGCAGAGCCGCTGGCGGTGAGGGGCGCGGGGAGGCGCGGCGGGAGGGCGGGCCGCCGCGGTGGGGACACCGCGCGCCCAGCAGAGGGAGGGCACTTAGGAAAAAGGCCTGGCTCCCCGTAGCCCCGCAGCGCCTCAGACTCAGGCTGTTCTTCGAGGTCTCCCACAAACTCACCAGGCGTCCTCAAGGCTTGGGTGCTCAGGGACAAACGTGTGGTGGGGGGCCGGGTCTCGGCAGCCTCCGCGGCTCCGGCCAGCAGGGGTCATCCCATCCCTCCCGGGGCCCCACGGCCCTCGGGCGGCGACCAGAGCTGCGGGCGCTGTGCGGAGGGAGCTTCGCGGCTCAGCCGGGGCTGGGAGGCGCGCTAGCTTTCCTCGCCTCCGGACACGGGAGCAGATCGGAGCCGGGGCCGGGCCGGGCGGGGAATTGGACCGCAGCCCTCGCCAC